GTAGAAGGTCTGGTGAGCACTTCTCAGTTATAACTAAGTTATAAAATTAGTTCCAAAGCGGCTAGGCCTCCACAAGTTCTGTCTTTGTCATTGTGCACTTCGTTTGCACAGACATAAACCATCCTTCCTCTCTAACGTAATGGTAATACTGAAGTGCAGTATTCAGTGTGCCAGGATAGTCGTCTAACATTAAAAATAGAAACAGTCCATAGAAAAGTTTTGTTTGTCCTCCTCCATTGTTGACGATTCCCACGGACTAACCAATTTGTTTCATTGCTTATGGAATAATTATCAAAAATAATTTCATAAATCTGACTTTCTGATTTAACTACAAATCTAGTCTCACGCTCTGTAATTTTGGTTTAACTACTTTCCTGGCTTTCATTTTTGGCATAGAACACATTTCCTTCCATTGATGATATTCCGAGAGAAGCAGTGATATTAGTTACTTGATCCAAAACTCAGAAATAACCTAGCTGCAAGAGCAGATCAGAAATTTGATTTGTGATCTCCCTCTTGTATGGGTCGTGGAACTGACAAACCATATCTGAAGGGAAGGCCTATATTGAAAGGCATCACAAGAGATAATTTACAGTACCAAGAGGTAACCTTCCTCATCAGACGAAAAAATGACATGTTGTGAGTCTGAGTAAGAACCTATTTTGTCAGAATACAGTGGTATTAACTGCCAGCTACGAAAAGATTGCAGTATTTTAGAAGGAATCCATCAGCTGCTTCTGATGATAGGTAAATACAGGAATATTACAATAATAGATAAGAGTAATGAAACTATACTAATAACACCAATCCTATCACACGTCAGAACAAGGACCAACTAGCACACAGGCCTGTAGGATTAGTCTCATTCTTACAGAAGAAAATTCTCTGCTCCTGTAAGAGCAGAGTCATGCTTTCACTCTATTCCACTGCAGGGTATAGCTGCAGATATGTATGGTGCTTGGCTGACAAAAAATATTGAAAGATCGGTAAAAAGATTTCAATTTAGAACAGGCATTCAGATGAATCCATCTGAGTATGTAAGTGTGACTCTCCATTATAGGGCTCTGAGTTGGAATTCTGTTCAATAACCGCTCTGAAACAGCTCCCCTTATTAACATCTAAGAGAAAACTGAAGAAATCCTTCACATGAAAGCCTTATAGCTACAGTAGAGGACTCTGACACCTCGAAATATTAAGTGTATTAATCAGATTATACTGAATACTAGTTTGCCTTGAATACATATAAATATACCTTTACTTATAAATACATTTTATATATGAATAATTCTATTTATATATTATGTATATTTAAATATAAATATACTAAAATAGCGTAACCAACAACAGCATTTAACACGCATGGCACAGCCAGGCACAATGCACAAGCATTTTACCTAAGAATATATGCAAAGTAACTGCCCCCCCTCAGAGGCAAAGACCTAGAGACCTGTGTAGCTGCACACAGCAGGCAACCAAGTGACAGAAGAATAAAGAACAAAATGAGCGCAAAGCAGTAAACAGGCAGAGCATCCTACCTACTATAGAAGAAGGAGGACTGGCAAAACCAAGAAGATAAGCAGCATCAGGACAAGATGGGTCTGCCTTTTGGGAGGCAGGAAGAGAAACATAAAACACTAAGGATGATCAAGGAAAGATGGAGAAGAAAGAAGGCAATCCCACTTCAGTTTCCATTTGTCATTAAAGAGTTCTCAAGACTGATCACATTACTCTTGGCAACAAAGGTCAAAGACCTTAGTCATCAGCGCTGACTACAGAACATCAGCTCTGTGGCACTCTATACTCACAGCTAATTTAGGATATGATTGTTGAAGACTAACGGTTTTGCAGTGTTTAGTGATAATAACCGATAATGTGTGAGAAACAACTATTACCATGAAATATGCTGCTAACAAACGTGTTTAGTAAAGTCTTGTTTTAAAGCTTAAAATTGGCCCAATTTATCAGTCTTCTAAATGCTCCCATCACAACAATCTCTCATTCTCTGAGGTAATATGCACATGCATACGCATATGTTCGGCTGCAAAAATTTGAACTCTGTAGCTCGGATGGTTCAAGTTGTGAGGAAAAAAAAAAAATCTATTCATTGGTGAATTGCTATCACAGCAGCCACCAACGTTACATGAGCATATTGAGACTAAAAGATTTTTTTTTGGAAGCTCACATCACTAAAGGAATTAATGCTGGGTCTGAAGTTGTAATTTGTAAACTACCCAGTCACCTCTTTCTTTAAATGAGAAGTAATGCCAGATGATTTGGCTATTAATAAAATGACTTTCATAGTTAGTTTACTGCTAACAAAATGGCTCTCACTAATCCCTTCCCATTTTGCAGTGCAACCGCATGACAATGTGGCAACTACCTGAGAAAACAGAGCACAGAATACTATATTTTTGCACTTTTCCAGTGTTCTGAAAAACTTGCTGAAGCTTTTCTATATAAAACCTTATGCCTACCTGGACTCAGAACTACAATCAGTTGGACCTCACCCTCTCCGAATCCTCCCAGATCCTCTCTCCCAAAGCAAATAAGACGCATCTAAGTAACAGCTACAATCATGGCTTGTATCTTCACTTGCTGAAGAAGCAGCCTTTTTTTCAGGAAATAGCTTATGTATAATTCATCAAGAGAGTTTCATATACTCATGTGTTCCAAGTCAGGATTTCTGCTTCTGCTCACCAGAATCCTTCATTTCTACTACTTTTTTTTTCCCCCCCTCCCTTTAATTCACTTTGGGAATTAACATCGTGAAAACTGCTGGAACCCAAGTGGAATAAGATGGAACCCAAAAGGTATTGTTAGTTGTTGTAAATTGCTTTTTGGACTTACTGATACTTTTCAAGGTATGTGAAATCAGTGGCTCTTTTAAAGAAAGCAAATGCATAAATAAAAAATTACTAAACAGGCATGCAAGAGAAAAATGAAACTAATTTGTTTAGGAGACCTGTGTATTGGGCTATGATTTTATGAATTTTTTGAGGTGTGGCAAATCTGGCACAGGAATTCACAACTTTCAGCCCATAACTCTTGTTTATCCCCATCACCTAAAATCACCTTTCTTATTGTTTTTTTTTTTTTGGGGGGGGGCAGTTTTCCAGGGACACCTGAATAAATTTATAATAGTTTTCTTTAATTATTTTACTAAAATAGCAAATTAGATTTAAAAAGTTATTTGAGTTATTTGCACAGTTCTAGGTGAAATCTTCACCCTCTTTTGACAGATCAGCTTATATCAGATTAGATCTTTAGACAAGGCCTTACTCCCTCTGCCTTACTTTGGTAAGGGGATGTACAGAGCTGTACTTGGTATTTCAGATGAGCTCTTGCTTGTGTGGTACAGATATTCTATCACTCTGCTGATCTGTTACATGACATTTCTGAACATATAGTCCAAAAATACACCACAACAGCAGTTATGTTCTGCCAGTTATCTGAAGTGTTGCTCGCTCAGCCCCCAGGGACTCCTGATTTTGCTGTCTTCCCATGTTTCTCCTCTTCCTAGAATAACAGCATATTTCCCCTGGATATATTATCTAACATTTCCCTATTTAGATGTTGTATTATTTTACCACCTAACATCTGTAGCCCGAGTTTTTTTTTTTAATATATATTTTTCTGCTCTTATTATTATTTTCTGCTGCTACTGTTATCTACTTAGTATCCTGTTACCCTTTCTCCAGATTCTTAGTTAAAATGCCATATCAAGAAGACTTTGCGTTCCACTATCTAAAACACAGGTCTGTCTACTCTCAATGCATCCTAGGAATTAAAAAGTTTTTAAGATTGTAACATCACCTCCTATTTTCATCTCTTTGTCAGCAGTTAGTACTCACTCCTCCACAAGTAACTGAGGCAGCAAGAAATTTAAAAGAGCTAAAATGAGGCAGAATTTTATTTTCATTAGGTTGCTAGTAAGCACTGATATCAGTGCATATTAGTTATGAAGCCAATAAAGTTATATATTGGCATGTATAATCATTACGTACTCTTGCAGTCAATGACATGAATGTCAAATGGTTTGGAGTAGGAGACTATTGGATAGTTTGTCTGCTCAGCAAATAAAAGAAGAGAAGGTGTTTTCAGCCTCTCATACACTAATCCAACAGTTTTAGGATGCATTTCTTCCTTGTCCTAAACTCTCTGCTCAAGGGAGCCAAATGAAAGTAATCCTTTACTTTGGAATCACATTATCAATGTCAAATCATTAACCAATTATATATTATTAAATATAACCAATTGCTTCTTACACATCTCTTTCTGCTATTTTCACATTTACATGTTATGTTATTCTTTTGTTTCCTAACTGCATGCTAGAGAGGGTAAGAGAAGCTGGAATATGAAATACCTGCTTCTTACAAAGCCACTGGCATTGCATTCATGCATATCTTTGCTTGCCTCTCTGTTTATATCTGCCAAAACTTTACAGAGTTACTTCAACAAATGGACTCTTTCCTGTTCTGGAATAGCTCATCAGCATCAGTATATAGATGAGCTATTTCAGAACAGAAAAGAGGACACCTTGCCATTTCATCATTTCTTTGTAATAGGCATCACATTTCAGCCTTCCGGTCTAAGTTTTACTGCTTAAATCTAACAGTCATGCAATAGGCAGATGCCATCCCCCGGCAAAATATTTTTATACTCAAGTCTGTCTTGGTGGTGGTGGTGAGAACACATCTTAAGGATCCTAGAAGACTGTTAGCCAAAATGACTTGGAATGCTGGTGGAGAGTTAACACACACATGCATGTTTCATCATACTGTTACAGAGACTGACATACACTTATACAAGCAGCTTTCCACAAAATGAAAATATGACATACTGTAACGCCCTCTGGTGTATAGGCTAACATTTCAGGACAGGTATCTGCACTGTACCACTACTACGGTACACAGCTTCATGTTTTTAACAGGCTGGTGAGGACTGGCAACATTTGTGGTTTGGCAAAGACAGGCAGAAAAAGAAGGATGGAAGAAACTCACCTTAAGGAGTTCATAATGCTGAATACCATTCACACCAATGTCAGGATCGATGGCAGAGGGGACAGAATAGCGAGAATTAATTGCTGTGTTTTCTGGGATAGAGATGTTAATAACTGTTGAAGGGAAGAGAGGTGCATTGTCATTTATATCCTCTATTAGGAATCTGATCTTGACCAATCTGAAGACTTCATCAGGCAGAACAGCAACCTCCACCTCATAAAAGCAGCGATTCTCACTAAAGATGCCAGAACACAGTTTCTCCCGGTCTATGCGGTTTGCAGTAGTGAATATCTCACCAGTGTTTTCCTCCACCCGAACTAATGGTACATCCCCAGTCTTATACACAAGCTTGAACTGAAGTGGTGAGGAAAGGGGCACATCTGGATCCAGTGTTAAGTTAAGATCCTTGAGCAAATTGCCAATCAGGACATTTTCAGGCAGTTCTTCCCGCACCGTGTAATTCTTCTCCTGTGCGTCAGATTGGAATACAATACAGGCTAATAAGACTGCCAAGAGGTAGGTTCCAAACAGCAAGTCCATCTCCAGAATGACTAATGAATATTCGTGTAGAAGACCAAGAGTAGCTGGAAAAATGAAAAGAAAGAAACTCTTAAAAAAAAAAAATACAGAATACTATGTTCTTAAAATGATGGAAAGAGGATCTTTCCCATAACAACCTAAACTGCTGCAAAACCCAAATTAGTAAAATGATATTTTACTTAACAATTCTTTATGAAAATCTCTTACACAGGTTTTACTTCTTACTAAACACTGAGGTAAGAATCCTAGAACTGGACCAGAATGAATTAATAAATTAATAAGTACAGGTAAAAATTGCTTTTTCCACCACGAGATTTTCCTTTGCTCCTCAAGAAAATCTTTCTTTGAACCTGCTGTGACATTGTCCTTGATTTCTTCCTCTTGTCTCCAGAGGAAGAGGTAGGTAAGAAATCTGCAAACATCCATCTGCTGAGAACCTATTCTTTTTATACTTCTCACTCAGAGTTGAGAAATTAAGAACACTTGTCTTAATTTCCCCCCCGAGTTTTACACTAACAAAATTACATAATACTTCTTAACAGTAAGGAAAGCTGGGTATTTTCAAACACAGAAACTTACACTGGCAAGAAAGTCTGATATAAATGGTAGTCTGCTGAACTTCAGCCAATGAGTGGAAACTCCACCTAACACAGCTAGGGACACTAACATAACAGTCCCTTTCTTTAGAAGGACAGGAACTGATCTAATCTGTGGAAATCAACAGAAGTATCACTATGTAATTCATTAATTTTGGATTATGTGTCTAAATACATAAGAGCAGTGGAAAAATCCCAACACAGAAGGACAAGAGCTGAACATTCAAAGTTTTCAATCTAGAACTAAAGTTAAAAGATTTTTCCTGGCAACAAGGGTGAACTTGAAACGGTCTCAGTTCCCCAAATGCTCACCCCATACATAATCTCAATGCCAGAGACTTGTCATTAATTTTCATGATAGTACTGATTTATTTTGCTTCCTTTGGAGGGGTGGAGGGATGTAGGAAAAAAGAAAAAAGAAAAAAGAAAAAAAGAAGGGTTTTCAGGAATATCTCCTCTTTGATATGTGAAAACATTTAATACATCTCCTGGAGAACAAGCTGGAAGTTATTCTATATCATTCCAAATCCACTGCGCTTATGTATAAACTAAGTGTTCTGAGATATTAACACCTTTGAAGTGTGGTATGAATTTGTTTGGGGCTGAAAAAAAAAAGTATTTTACATTTTTCAACGTAGTTTCTGACCAATAGTATATTCTCTCTGCAAGACTGCTAAAAACTTGAAATGTACTGGAATGGATGGAAACAGAAAGGTATGACTTATAGGTACCTACAGACATATTCCTTCAGCTCAGAACCTTTCAGAAGAAAAAGAGATTACAGAGTATGTCACTTTGCATAATCTTTGTGTAATTCCACCCTTGCAGAATCTAGGATCATCTTGGACAGTTTGTGTTGCATAAATGTTCATCGAGTTCCTTTAAAATGAATATTTAGTCAATGAAATTTCAGCTCGTACCACCTCAGCATCTGCTTCTCATGTACTTGCACTACTTACTCATCTACATTCTTTTCATTGTTCATATAAAAATTTAACTTCTTTTCCTGTCTTTTCTGACTTTATTCTCGGTTTTATAGCATAGATTTATTTACTCTTGGAGATCAAGTTGCAGTGGTTTAAGAAATTACTGAAGCCAGTAATTGTGTTCACCTGTAAGTTACTGCCTTTCAGCAATATCACATTCAGAGTAATTTCAGTCATCCACATGCTTGACTTTGCAGTGAAACAGATTAGGAACACTAACATAGTTACTCCATTTCAACTCTGGAGCGGTAACCTGCCCCTGATTGGAAGTAAGAGAAACAAAGAAACTTGTAACATTTCAACTAGACCTGCAAGGTGCATCTTTCTACATCAGCATGATTTAACCATAGAGCATTTTCTGGCTTCATGATTATACAAAGGGAGTGACATGAAATAAAAATCCTACCACTCAGGTCTTTACTTATCAAAAAATACATTGCTCATTGGAGTAATTCAGTTAACCTGGGATCACTGACATGGGTGAGAATTGAATACGCAGTTTACGTGGCATAGGTACTGAATCATCTGCAGGATTCTGGTAATTCAGTGCAAGGCACAATACAACACTAAACAGGCATTCAGGAGTGAAGGAACAGTTTAGTATAAACAGTCATTTTACAAATCTATTATAATATTAATGTTCTTTGAAATATGTAAATAAGCAAGTTATTAGGCGATATTGATTATCATTAATGGCAACAGTACGAGTTTAATGAAAGTATCATTACAATAGTGTGCAAATATATTAACTACAATGTTTTTGTAACTGAGGTGTATTATATTTCTATCAATACAACTTTAGCAATCATCACACCTCCTAAAGGAATTGTACACAGACACTCAACATGCAGCAAGAAGATATAATTTCAGCAAATATGTTTTTATATCCACTAGTGTTAAAATAAATATATTTAAATATTTCCATGCACAACAGCAATAAAAATGTTCCGGTTACAGTGAAGAGTTGATATTTAAATGTCAAACAAGGTTTCTGAAGGATAGCATGTTCTGCACATACCAGAAAGCAGTATTAACCTCCAGTAGAGGAGAAAAAGTGAAATAAACTGAAAAACTGGAAAACTGGAAAACACATCACATCACATGTTGTCTCTGGACTAATATTTTAAACTTGTAGTTCACTTCTGAGCAGGAGCATTAGAACAAACTTAAACCAAATTCCAGTACCTACATTAAACTTATTGGTGACAACACTGGTATCAGTTACCTATAAATAAAAAAAATTTAAATATACCTATATATTATATAAAAGCTACCAATTACTCTTATGCTTTAATATATTCTGATGATTAATAAGTCAATAAATGCTACTTTGCTCCTCTCTCACTCTGGTTTTGAGGTTACAGGAATTTTTAATTACATTGAATAAAGAAAGTTTGCATCTTATGAAGGAAGTTTTATAAGGCAATTTCAGGGTCAGGGAATACCCTAACAACCCAAAAACTTCACGTAAGAAGTCTTCCAAATCAATTCTGAAGGCAGTCAAAGTATCAATAGACAATTTAAATTAAAAAAAATTGGTAAGTAATTCAGTAATAGACAGTTATAACCTCAGTGGATTTTCTAGGGGTTATAAAACACCAAGAGCAAGACTCGAGAGGTTTGTCTGCCAACCTGCTGGGTGAAATTTCCTAGCCTTACATTATTATTTATACTCCATTTTTTAATGAAATAAAGTTTTAAGTATTCTATTAGAAATATTTTTGTGTCATATAAAAACACAGTAAAACCAAAAAATAACAGCATACCATTATTATATACCATGCCAGGTAAACATTAACATGGCTTTTATGTTGTCCGGTATTACCACAGATTTTCCTGAACAAATAAAGGACACAGACATGTAATAGGTAGGGTTAGGAGTTTTTATAAGAAACCATCTGGTCCTGAGGTTGAAAAAAAACCAACAATAATTTGTAATTCCTGAACTTGAGGAGCATATAACTATTTTGAAATGCTCTTTACTTGCCTCTCTAAACAACTAAGAACAGCTGTGAACCTTTAATAACCATTCTACTGCCATGGCCCTTTAAAGGGGGGGGCAGGCACGATTCAAGTTTTCTGTCTAGATATATGCAGGAACATCATATGCCATAGTGAAAGAGCTGTTCTTAAAGAAACCTATTTATATAGCTATAGCTGTATGCTGTCCATCATTTGTGTGTCATAGCACTGATGGGAATACTATGGCAACAGCAATGCAAAGAAAAGAGTAGCAGGAGGCACTCTAACAACAAAGCATCATTTTGAAAGATGTTTAGGATATCAGAAGATTTCTAATGATATACAAAATGTAACATATCTCTCATATCTGTCTACATATCCACACATTGCAGGTATACATACCATAAAGTGGGAACTCAAATATAAATATAAAAATAAAAGCAAAAAAGAATGGCTGAAAAAATTACAAATGAAGATGACAAAGTCAGACAAAACAGGACATTAAGAGTAATTGTCAGAAGAGAGCATGTGAATGAGAACAGATGGTGGAAAAAGTTAGAGGTGAACTAAGAAAGCCAGACAAGATAAAAATCCGAACCGGGGGGGAGGAGGAGAGGGAAAAGAAAAAAAAGAAAGGAACTGAGCAAAAAGGTAAGAGTCACAGGAGAGCATGTGGAAACAGGCTTTCTTGATAACTGAAGTATACATGCAAAGAAATATGGAAAAGTACAAAAGGCTAAATACAGTAGTTCAACTGTAAAGCACCTTTAATAAGCGCCAACATTCACTAACACTTTTAAGGCTTTTAGGGTGGTAAACAAAAAAAAAAAATTATGAACAAAATTGTTTAGCATAAGGTAACGTTAAGCTTGCCAAGCCATTTTCCCAGCTTTCAAAAGAACACAATCATGTCTGTACTGCGGACTTCTGAGCTAGGAAGGCAAGTGCCCCAGATGGACAGGATGGAGGGTAGGAGGGGAAAAAAACGATTATGAATTCACTGTCTTTCATCTGACTTTTTATGCACAAAAATATACATGCTTTTTGCCCAATATATGAAATACTAATGGCATAAAGTAAGTATTATCATTTCTTCAGTTTACCAGCTGTCAAATCATTCCCTGACAAGTAGGCAGAAAATAAAAACTATAACCACCTAATTGGAGTATGATGTAAATGTAGATTGCAAATCTGTTCTTTATACAGAACACTAACTGGTCCCACCAGAGTCAAAATTCCTGCATTGTATTATAGGACTGGACTGCTATTTCTTACTTAAGGGGACCACAGAAAAGTAGCAAATGCAGTAAAAGAGGACAAGTGTTCACTTCAGATGAAAATGAAGCGCTATATCTTGACACTAGAGTCCAGATTTAACTTAGATTAAGAATAAAAAAGATTTGGCAATATTGTCTATTATATACAATATATTATAATATACAATATCATAATAGCATACAATATTATTACAATACTCTACCAAGCTTTGAGAAAAAAATC